ACCTTTTCCTTTGAGCAAAGACTTCGAGCTTCGATATCTAAAACCGAAAATTGAATTTTCTGAAAAGGAACGTTACAAGTTACAGAATCTCGCCCGCAAAGAGTTCGTAGAAAATTATCGACCGTTAAGGGTTAATAATTATTCGTTCCCATCTGTTAGGTAGTTCACAAATGGAAAGTTCGAAGTATGAAGGTTCGAATGTTTACCGGTCCCGAATCGATCCGATTTCTCGGTTGCGTAGGAACGATGCTAGAAGCAGGGGAACGTAGACGGGAGTTTCGGGGGCGAGCCCGCGTGCAAAATCGGCGGTAAACGCTGCGCACATTGCTGAAGAGCAACGAGACATTACTTTCACCTCAGAAATGATGTAATTCTATTTATCGTTTATCGGCCGGCGCGTGCCGTTCGCCGCAGCCAGTTCCCCGGGCCGACCGGAATCGTTCGGCTCGCTGAAATTCCAGCCGAGCCCCGAACTCCGCCGTGATTCCGGCCTCTTTCCACGATCTCTGGCCGATTTCCAGGATTTTTCCAATCTCAAGACTCGCTGTGAGCCAACCGACTCTCGCGCTTTATCGATTTTTCATTTGCCTCTCCGGATTCCTTTCGGATCGGTACCGTTACGTCTCTCCACGTTCGCATGAGTCACCGAAATTTTTGTGCTCGACTGCTCTCCGAGTTCGATCGACCCGTGGAATCCGGTTTTAGGATTCGGCGACAGAACCGTGAGTCGTGGGACGGAGCGAGAAAGAAACAACAGCTTGTCTAGGGGAAATCTGATCAGATTTCAGACTGCGAATGCTTAACCCCTTGCTCTATGGTATGTTTGTCAAATATGAAAGGTACATCTACTTTGTTGTGAATAACTTATTGGATTAATTGTTCACGTTTAAATCGTAGCGGAAGGATTAATATTGATTCAGTGTGTCGTTCATACCATTGTTAAAATACTGAATCGTATCGAGATCAGTAGAAATTAAGGTGTACCACAATCGAGAGAAAGAGAATTTTGTTTGTATACATGTTGGTTTGCATTATAAGAAATCCTTACCTGGATACACTATCCATCCTTAAACACTGTGCATGGAAGAGATAAACAGAGGGAGACTACATGTATCTGAGAAGCAGAGAAAGAGAGAGCGAGAGTCAGAGACGGAGAGATAAAAACAGGTTTATCGAATCGTAGTAAAACAGGAATGCACCGAGCTTGTGTGACAGAACGCGGCCCGCGTGTGGGACGTTCCTAACCCTTAGCACTCCAGCTAACTTCGTAATCTATTAGCAAGTCGAAGCCATTTTTATATTACCCCAGGCGGAAATTGATAAACGTTATATTTTAACATTTCCTACACGGGAAATCGTCGAACCCGGAAATTCAAAAAATTATGAAACGTTGTGTGTAAGTACAGTAAATGAAGCCTGATACATTGCAATTTTTTTTTGTGCCGAATTTCACTTGAAAGGGGCGAAACTATTATCCCGTACCGAAAATGCAATTTCTCTTTCCTATGGATTATCTTATCAGTGTGAAAAATGCGTTGTTCTTTCACGTTTATAAAACTGCAAAATAAAATGTTATAGCCGTGAAAAAACAATGTACAGGAAGAAAACCACGGGAAAGAAAAATTGCATCTTTTTCAAGGGATGGTTTCACCCCTTCGAAGTGAAATTCAACACGAAAAAATGCAATGTATTAGGCTTGACTGACTGTACTTAAACACGAAGTTTCATAATTTTTTGAATTTCCGGGTTCGTTGACTTTCCTTGTTAGATTCATTATTTTCTTTCTTAGGAAACTCTCGCGTGTGATAGATACAATAATCTTAGAGTGGCTTTTTCAAGTTCGTTCATTCAGATATTTGATACTATGAATAATCCCACAGTGAAGCTTACAAAGTGCAAAGAGTTAAAGATATAACCGGTGAGCCGAGGAGCAAAAGAAACATCGTCGCGATCTCTCGAATCCCTCTTCATGAATCGAAACTCACGTTCCGCGGATTCACGCGAAGCCGGCCACTCGCGAGCGTGACCGATTTGTTTCGAGCCTCGGAATATTATTGATTTCCGGCTGGAACTTCGGCTGAACGCGTTTCCCGTGAATCCCGGAGCAATTAGAGAGGGGATTGAAACTTTCTTGTAGATCTCGGTCTCATTGTTGCGATCTACATCACGGTTGTTCCGGGATCGCACGCGTTGGTCCGTTAACACGTTGATCGGTGATCACCGATGACTGCAAAAATGCTCGAGGACAATTACACGGAAACTGATGTCGAATGGGAATATTCAATACGACGAGTAACTAAATAATAGTGTAACTCAAGAACTATGATACCAAACACATGAAGCGTAACCAGATGTCTTAAGCGTTTTACGTAACATTTATTCTTTCGTAGCAAAAATAAATAGGACAATTATTAATTGTTTGGCATCATAATTTTCATATTACACTGTTGTCAACTTACTTAGGCTATTAAACATTTTTATTCGACATCAGTTACGCTACATATCATAATTACTTTCTGGCAATTCAGAAGTGGTCAATGGTGATTGACATGGCATTTAATATGTTAACCTTTTCATTAGAATAGTCGATTCATAGCCGAGACATCTTGTTATCACTGATGTACGTACGAAGCTATCGTAGTGATGAGATATCTCGTCCGTAGCATCGTTTCTTCGACATCGTGAAACCGAGATATCTCGTCCATTGTAGTGAAAGGGTTAATAACCGATTCCAATACCATTTGTCTTCGTTAGGAAAGAACAAGTAATATTCTAGAAAACGCTGAAAATTCTCGTGGCGGTCAACGTGTCAACGGCGGGCCAACCGATCGTCGTTCTTCAGAGGAGCAACGACATCCCGCTGTTTACAGCTGGCCGTTTACGTTAAATACCTTCCGGGGTTATCGTTAACCCTAGAACGTCCGACGCGGCAGGGTTCGTCGAACCTGCGAGTCGTGAAACTTCGAATGGGAGCTGGTTTTCTTCGCCTCGAAAATTCTTCAGGACATTCCTCACGTGTCTGTGCCTCGCTCGCGCGGGATGATAAATTGTTTTCGAAGAATTCTCACTGCGAGAAGGATGGCTTTCCTACATTTTTCCCGAGGGATTTCTGACTCGCGGGTTTGACATCCTTCGGAGTCCTAGAATTATCCTTGCCGCCATCTTTCCGTGAATTATCCGACCAGACGTTTTTATCTCGCTCTTTGTTTCTCTTTCTTTTTTTTCTTTCAACTCGATCGCGTCCCGACTCCTTCGAATACGCTTTTGCGTTTGAAGAAAAGTAGAAGGTTAGTAATACAGCTGTTTCTCGTTCCTCATCAATGTTTCAAAGGTATAACTCTACCGGAGGCTCTACACGTATTAAGTTTATACGGGTTTCGCTCACGATAGAGTGGAAGACGCTATTTGTCACGCAATTCTGAGGAAATTTTCGTCTGTCTGTGGAAAAATTCCAAATATCGCTGTATAATCTTCGTCTCCGAGAAACATTTCCACCGAATAAATTTGATCAATCTGCAGCGTGATTCTGAGACGAAGCGGCAGTCAGAGTGTTGTAAATATACAATATTCCACGATATCCTTTGTACATGCAGAATGAAATAAAATCGAGCCCGGAACGGAATCTGTATCTGGAGGGACACAAAAGGAACGGGTTTTTTTCTGTCCCAGAAATCCTCCAATTTTCCATACGCCGATCGTATCGCGGCTGTTTACGAGTCGAACCTCTGAGAATATATCGCGTTGCCCATAAACGTGAGACCAATCCGACTCGCTTGTTTTTCGAGCAATCGTATCGCATTCGCCTGCATCGCTATGTGCGCGCGCCGAAACGGATTGAATGAGTGGGAGAGAAAGGAGGAATACGAGTGTGCGAGAGAGATGTATAGAAAATAGCCGCAACGACGTATATCGCGTGGATATTGCGCGTACACAGGGTGCAAGGACGAGAGGTCGCGTAGATCGTTCACGAATGTTGATCAATGAGAAAACCCGACGACCATATGTACTGAGACGTCAGAAGAAGTCCTTACTTGTAGGGGTCAGCCGGCTGTAGGGACAAGGTGCTCACGGAAGAAACGGCGACGCACGATTCCGTAAACACACGATCATTAAGTTGCCTCATTTGCAAGTCGCTTAACTCTTCATTCGTCGGAATCTTTTCAAATTTTACGACCGAATCGCTTGATCAGTGCTAAACCTTTTAGCTACCGCGGGACTGGCCGCGAACCTATACCTCTGTACAATGAGGTCTGACGCAGACTGCGTGTAATGCCTTACTGAGATTTGAGACTGGTAGCGTTCTCCACGGTGCAATTACGTTAGATTAGGCAACAACGTGCACATTTATCGATGACAGAGAATGGCTATAATGGCGTGCCGTTGAGAAAAATGACACACGCAAAAGCTTCAATAATAGCATATAGTAGCTAAAAGGTTAATACTGGAAACGAAAACTGTTCACCTTGGACAGCATCCGACACACCTGAACCGAACGTTGAACGATCCTAAACATTTCAATTACTCGCGCGATGGTTCGACCGGTACGCTGTCCACGGTTTCATCCGATTCTTTTTCGTTCACGGAGTTAACACTTTGACTGTCACGCGTCACTCAAATTCGAGTGACAGCATTTCGTCCGTCAACTTAAAAGTTAAGTTTCTTCGTGACGTATCGAACGAACCGAATTTTGTTGGATGTATTACATATAGAAAGGACAATAGAACAATCGTTACGAAGAATCTTGACTCTTTAGATACCGATTGATTAAGAAAACCGTTTCAATCGTATTTCCGGAGTTTCGGCGAGTGTTCATTTGGCAGTCAACGTGTTAATCGCTGTTCATCGGATCGTTCCTCTGCAAACGGATTCTATCGTGTCGCGATCCGCGCAACTGGGTATATTCACACCTTGTCCCTGTACCCGTCGGCCGGCCGTTGCTCCGCCGATCCCTTGAGTACCGGCATTACTGCATACGAACGAATGTGGACCTGCCTGCTTAGGTCGCCTCGGCGAGCAGTTCGGTGGGCGCCAGCCCCACGGGATCATCCGGGGTACTGGAGACCCCGCTCTCCGTGAAGAGTGCCGGCGCCAGCCCACCGCAGTCCAGCGGGAAACACCTGCGCATTAGCCTGGGGAATCAGTTCAGGGCGGGCGGCTCGCTGCCGAACGTAAACAACAACGCGAATTGCGAGAACGACGCGAAAGAGCACGCATCGCAGCACGCCGCCGCTACCCACTCGATCGACTTTAAGGTACTGGCCCAATCTAAACGAAGATCTAGCTCACTGTTTACTTAGCTGTTTCTACAATTTTCGTTCTTTTGTTGCGCACCTCCTTCCTCCCGCCCACCGCACGCCCCCTTCGTTCACGCACCCCTCTGCCGCCCTCTTTTCCCACGCTTCCGTACGCGGCTGGCGAACGGGACAACCCCGGAGGGCGACCAGTGATGGATATTTCGTTCGAGTAATGGATATAGCAGCGGTTCTCAACTTGGCCGCGCGCTAGAAATATCGGGGGTACGTCACCACGGCATGGAACGCTTGTAATCTTGCTTCATCCGCGCGTACATGTTTGTACGAACCACTTAACTATTTGACATTTACGTTGGATTGATGGGACGTGGTGTTGAGGTTTGTTGATTCGTTTGAATTCGAGGATAAGTGCGATTTATTTTCTCCGTGTAAACGGGAGCTGACTGTCGAGAGGATTTGATGGTAAACATGTTGATAGTCGAGTGGGATCGAGACTAACAGTCGACTTCAAGTTTGCGCGTTGTGCACTGGGGAAATTTACGCGTTAAGGGGTTAATGTTCTATTTTTCTGTAGGTAGACAGAGCATAGACGTTTAAGAACTACTGAGATAGGGAATCGGACCGACGAATACGAATTTTATTCGAATAGCATTGCGAACGGATAAGCAATCGAATGAGAATTTGTTCGAATCGAAATTTGTTCGAACGAGAACTGATTTCTTCGAGTATGGATGTAATTTGTACGAGAACTCAATAAACTAATAATTACTTCGAATAATCGTTGAGTTGATAGACGTAACAATTTTGTTGGGCACAAGGAGTATCTCGGATAATCTCGCGGATCTATGGACTGCGAATATTTACCGAGCGTAGAAGTCTTTTAACGATTCTCCGAAATGTATAGTTTAACGATTTAATATTAATCAGTTGCGTCCTGAAATGAATTATGTTACGGAAATTAGAAGCGAAATACATGAAATCAAAATCTGAGTGAACATTATCGAACGTTCTATTTTGTTGAGTTGTAAGCAATTGTATTGTTCACGCGTGAAATCCATAGTCTGATAATCGGGTTAGGATTCGATGAAATATGCGTTAAAGAGAGCAGCACGGTAATGCAATCTAGATTGTTCAGTATCTCGCTGCACGCGGAATCGATACGCTCTTCCGGAAACGATGATAATTTATCACTCCGAAATAATGGAACGGAGAAACGGAAATATCGTGGTTGAAAAAGCATTAGCGCTTCGCTGGTCAATACACTGACACCGTGCATTTAGAAATGACGCGTTATAAGAATGGTAAAGGAAAATCCATTCACGAATGCTGAAACTTTATGCATTGATATTGCTTCATTATCTAGGGAGAACGTTAATGCTTGAACCATAAGACTTC